TACTAGCCCGATGTATTTTGGCATCCAAGGTTTTTAATAACCTATCGTGGCCGGATTTATTTGCGTAAAAGCGTCTTACGCGAGAAACAAGGTGAAAAGCAGTCAGTAGGTTTTGGTAAAAGATGTCGCTGACGTGGTGCGTATTTATCGACAGGAAGAAGTCATTCCTATCTTGGGAAGCCAACGTGGACGAAAAAGCTTGTAAACTGTCCGGCGAGAGGAGATGAAACATGGATGGACTCAGAGGAGCAGCTTGGCCATAACTGACTACGTTGCAAGAGACAACAAAGTGGTCACTTCCTGGGAAGCGTGGGCCAACTGCAGCTGTGGCTAAATGGACATCGTTGGAGAATATTAGGTCCAGAGTATGTCGGCCGCGAGTGGGACTACATACAATTTGGGACCAGCCCTCCACACCAAGTTGCGCAAGCAGCGCGGTGTAACGGGCGGGGCCAATGGCAGAGGACCAGATTTCCGGCAGGTTGAAGTCACCCAACAGAAGTTTAGAGGGATGAGGAAGGGCATGCGCAGTGGAGATGATACGGGAAAGATCAGCAATAGAAGCGGGGGAGGGGGCAGGTGGTAAATAGATGCAACCTACTAGTACAGGTCGTTTGGTCTGTTCTGTGGATACCCAAATGGTCTCTGGAATCCCTTCCAGAGAAAATTCGTCAAATAGGGTTGCACGAAGTTCCGACTTGGAATAGATGGCACAGCCACCGCCCCTTGAGTTTTTCCTATCGGAGCGGTAAGTGCCATAGCCAGGGATTAAGACGGCCGAGTCAGGAGTTTCATCTGTGAGCCATGCTTCAGTCACACAGATAATACTCGATCGTGCAATGGCTCCAATCACTCGGAGGTTATGTATTTTGGGCAGTAATGAGCGGGCATTGAATAACATTATTGACAAGCTCGTTGGCAAGCAGACGGTACTAAGAAGGAACTTTGTAACCTCACTTACGCTGGGGTTCTTCATTGGAGAGATTGGGTACCTGGTGGTTAGGTTATATGAAACGGGGTCCGGAGTCTGGGAGGGAGTATTCAGTACTGTTTGCAGATGGGTAAATTGTCGTTGGAATAGGTTTGAACCCACGGCAGAAGGTAGTAGGTCAGGCTCAGTATAGGGTACGGACTGATTTTGGGAGGGATAGCTCCATGGACAAAGAGTAACAGGCTGGGTCGGTTAACCGTTTGTAATAATGTAATCTACGTAGTCAGGAAGTGGTACCGTGTGTGGTAGCTCGACAGAAACAGTGGGGTTTATGTGGTGCGGGATGGAAGGGCAGGAGAAGTGTATAAGGAACAGGGAATGAGAGGGTAAGAAAGGGGCATCGAGAGTTTGGTTGGATCTGTTTTGTAGAGCCTTCAGTATCGAATCGAAGGGGGCGGAGGGAACGGGTAACCAAACTGGGCTTATTGGAGGAGGTGGAATAAGAGGTTTATGGTAAGAGACGCAAGGTGAGGAGAGGGATTATAGTGTGGTGAGGAAGTTAGTGGTATGACCAAACTCTCTGGGAGGGGTGAGCTCCGTTGGGAGTAAGCAGGAATCCTCTATGTTGGCTGCAGTTGAAGGGGGTTTGGAGTGGGAAGTCGAGATACAGCTAAAGGTCGTAGAGGTGAAGCCGCAGGTGGCTTCCGAGGGAGCGGAGTCTGTGGTGGAGTAGGTAGTTGCTGAAAAGGGATCCCAGGCATATAGTACGCAGGTTTCCGGGGGGGGCGGAACTTGGTAGGGTCCAGGATTACGTAACGGTTGTTGTGGTTTAGAGACCCTGCCACGGAACTGAGTAGCGCGGCTAGAGGGGCTATAGATGTGCTTATGAGGAATTACGGGTTTGGTCAGGTTTGTAGAAGGGCGAAAAGCAGAAGCTCCGGGAGTTGGTACAGGAGAAGGGTTTACGGTGCGAGGCTTGGACAGCAGGTGTATGAGTCCAAGGAAGCGCTTTGGTGGGAAGACGCGAAGTGTTTATCGATTGTATAATCGTTTTTTGCTTAAATCTCACCATGCTTCGAAAGAGAACACATTGACGAACATTAAAGTTTTCGGGACCTCGTCAGCACATAACTAATGGTTAAAATAGGAAAGGAAAATGAAATACGCTGCGAACATTGGTTAGTGAAATGCAAAACGTGGAGATACGAACGATTGGTTGCCTGCCTCCTCCCCATGTCGCATCTAGTTGGATGCTGTGAGACAGTGGAACAGGGCTGTTGAGTGACTTGGCTGGTTGATTTGTGTCACACGACCGAGGCAGGCAGTACTGTACCGGGTTTCACAGGCGTATAGCGACTGCCTCGGCTGTAGTCAAGCCACGCCGTTGAATGGATACGGACACTAATTGGCACGCGGTAAATGATTTGAAATGAATCATTTGGCATGGCTACGTGCCCGGTATCAATTAGGTGGGGTGCGATTGAGCTTCTGGTTAAACTGTTGAGGTTAGTGGTATTCCGGTATGAAAGGCGCTCACATATTCCCTTAGAAAGTTGCCATGTTGTGCGCTCAACATAATCCGCTGAACAACAGCAGGAAAAAGAATACACAACCATATTTCGGGTTGGGACTGGCATCTCGTCTTTGACGTTTAAGTTGAGCAAAGGGTTTGTTGTAAACTAAGACCGCAGAATTCCAGCCAGACGAAAAACCATAAAAAACGCGCACTTGTAGAAGTTTACATAATATAGACGTCCTCACGTGCTTCGACTCTCTCTTCTGATTTTGCTCGCGCTTGCAGCGGTCGTTCTCGAGCCTCGTGCTAACTCTGGTATTAAAACATTTCAGACCATCGTCGGAGTCTACTATATGTGGGAACTGTTCAGAAGAAGACCCCTGGACCACCATAATTGGATTATTGTTTATTCGCTGACCTGGGCCAACGGCAACCTATTTTAAAGAGAACAATTATTAGTAAGTCTGTTCCATTTGACCCCTATTTTTGTATACCCAATCTTGTGCTATTGTTTTTATTTCTTTGCCACACACTCCTGGTAAAGTGACTTATTGTGTAGTCAGACCACTACAGAGCACACCTACCTGCTACTCCCATTAGTGGACACGAAAGCCTTCATCGCCATGCACCACTTATAAATTAAAGCTGATAGTAGTGCTTCGGGCCTGGTGGCCATTCTCCTTGCAATCATCTTCCCTTCTAGATTGTCCCAGTATTGTCCGCCTCACTACTAACTTACAGAAAATCAAGTCCATCGTCTCAGAGGTTCCACTCTCACCATTCCTGTGTTTGGTTCCCCTTACCACGCCGCCGGAAGCTGGTCCCCGACCACTTATTACTTATATACCGTCCCTGTGCACATAAACACCCTCTTTGCACAACGGAGACCCTGTATTCTGATTATTTTGGTGAGCCAAATGCTACCGCCATGTAATCGCTCATTCCAACAAGTCCAACAGCTAGCCTTTCTGCAATCCACCTGAGCGACAAAGTCCTTTAGTTCCCAAAATGATGCACCTAATCTGGCCAGCTAGCAATCGGTTTCCGGCTCAGCAAACAAATCTATCCTTTTCTGGGTCCATTAAGCGTGCTATCATCCCCTTTTAGATTTTTCAGTCTGCTGACACCGTTTTATCTGACGCCTCCTGACACTCACGAGAAGATACTGCCCTCATCCCGTTCATTCTTCATTCCTCCTCTTCCCAAGCTTCAACATTCGGCTGTAGTTGCCCAAATCCCCCGTACAACCGTTATTCGTTTAATTTGGCTGGTCCTCGATCCACACTCACACAGTTCTCCAACTGAAGACAAATTATCCGTGACCCTGCATCGGCCTGGCTCGACCTGGTCAACTTCCTCGCCTAACCCAGATCCAGCTGCTACAGAAATAGGTATCGCCTCTCCGGTTGAGGCAGCCTTGACGACCGTCACGAGGCTGTTCATAAACCGAAGCATGTCAGTGCATTGGTGGTATGACACTGTAACTATTTTCTCCAGAATCTTGACCGCAAACTGCCGCCCGCTAGAGCCTTTACTTGCGACCTCGAGCAAATTTTTCACCTGGCCCCATAATGTTACAGTCAGAATAAAAGTATGACTGTGGGGATTGTGATTACAGGGAGTTAGGAAATGGGATGGCGTCGTAGGGGACGGAAATTATTAGATGTGGGCGTGATCGCCATTAAACGACAGGGAATCACATTTACTATGCACTTTTTAAGGAGAATATCGAGCAAAGTTGGATCGTTAGAATTTGAGGATGGCAGGCGAAAAACAAAGCAAGGGAGGGCAAAACAAGAGGCTTCCTCTTTGACACACAAGGAGAGAGATGTGACGGTGAAAAATGTGGAAGCAGAACATCAGATCAGGTCCCGCTGGTAGGGCTTATTCTGATTGTTCGGTGTTCACTTGAACGGCATAAGCAAAATGTGCAGCATTTCTGTTAAAGTCCTCAGCGTGAGGATTCGCATAAGAAGCATCTAATAGTGCTTTGAACTCTATACTAGATAGAGCGTGGACAAATGTCCGCGCAGCAAATACGCGAAATGGAATATTTTGCCTAATTAAGATGTGCGGCCTAAGCGTGAAAATCTTACCGCACCCCCGCTGCGTGTTTGCTGAATTAACGGCAAAAAACCTGTTGAACACACCTTATTCAAGCAGGCCATAAATAAGTACTAAGTTCCCTCGAAGTCGACGATATTCCAAGGGAAACGGTTCAATTACCGCGAGAGGTCCTTCATGGTCCGTGGATTGAAAACCGGCAACCATCTTCGTAACAGCTCGTTGGACACACTTAGTGAAGGCCATGTCCTTCTTGCATCCCGGGTAGACGACTTAGCCTGCACATTCAAGAGGTTGTACGACATAGGCTCCGTAGAGTGTTTGGAAGTCCATGCGAGTGATACGGAAGAAGGTGTACCGAATCACCCGTAAACGGCGAACGCTTTTTGGGACGGTTTCTCATGGTGCAGTGGGAAGAACGAGTTTGAAGAGAGCCATATACATAAGTCCTTTCTGGCACCCATCCTCGTGATGTCTTCTGGCCCATTCTCAACACGCACGACGAAGGTGTATGCTGAGTCCCCTCCGAATGACATATGGATGCGCTTTTCGCCATTTAGAGAAGGCTAGCAGTCCAACGACCACAGCCACGCGGCGTTCACATTCATCTGGAGCACTGATGTTGAACTTCAGGATTTCAAGTTGTCCGCTAAAAGTAGACATGGACATGAAAGAACGTCTAAAAGGTCATAGAAACAGTGATGGTCTCAAGTCAGAAAATTGGCCCCTTCATACGAGGGGAAAAGAAGGAACTTTTCTCAATCTCAGGGATGGATTTAACTATGTATTTTTACTAAGTCGAAGGTGGGAATTTTCCAGCCACTTGTC